GGGGGGGGGGGGGGATCTCGTGGTCGAGAGGTTATGGTGTTCGTCTCTCATTCAACAGATCCTGGGTTCGAATCAGGACAGTGACGGAAAATATTCTTCTCTTATTTTTTTTTCCCGTTCACCTCCTTTCCTGCTCTCTAACATTGTTCTGCCGTCTGATTTCATCTCCACTTTCTGTCCCCACCCTCTCACCTCCTTTGCCACCACCTATGGACTCTTTCTGCCGCCTTTCTACTGCTTCTCTTTGGCTCCTCCTTACTGCTGTCATTTATCCACACCCCTGATCTTATGGTAGGTAAGATCTAACACCTAGCCTTCTCGGATAAGGGCGAAAATCTTCGGAGGTCCCGTGTGCAAGTTGCGCACGTTAAAGATCCCTTAGTGGTCCAAAATCGATCAGAATAGACTTCGGCCGCCAACCGGGCAAAATTCAAAATTTCCTACCAACTGAAAATTATTAATGTGTCCCGCGCGCTCATAGGACCTTATGCAGTTGCAAGCGCCGTAATACACATATCCACTCAAAAAATATTCCCTGGTGGGGAAGTTTTTTCTTTTAGTCAGCATCTCCGTCTGTTTGATGGAATGTTGTATCTCACTCCGCACGTGTTCGATATAAAAGGGAAGGATCGAAACAACCCGCCTCCTAAATGGTGAAGATTGTCTATGAGGGTGTGAAACGTTTGCAAACTTTTCAGGTGTGACGTGTACTATGACCTGCCACATGAATGCACTCTGGTCAAGAGGGAAGGAGAGTGTTGTCTTCAGCCTGTGTGTAACTTCAAGAGTAGCGTCCAAACCTCCGTCATAAATCAGCCCGTGAACCACAATGGACGCAGTGAGACCGTCTGTTGTCGAGCTCTATGTCCGTCTGTCTGCCTGCCTGCCTGCCTGCCTGTCTGCCTGTCTGCCTGTCTGCCTGCATGCCTGCCTGCCTGTCTGTCTGTCTGTCTGTCTGTCTGTCTGTCTGTCTGTCTGTCTGTCTGTCTGTCTGTCTGTCTGTCTGTTTATTGGCCCGTCCGTCCGTCTGTCTGTCCATCTTTCCGTTTGTTTGTCTGTCTGCCTGTCTGTCTGCTTGTCTGCCCGTTTGTCAGTTGTCTGTCTGTTCGTCTGTTTGTTTGTCTGTCTGTCTGCGCATACGTCAGGGATTGGAAGGTGCCCCATTTGTGGCCTTCTTCTTTCCCTCTGTTGCTTTTTGTTTGTGTGTGTTTGTTCACTCGACTAAATTACTGTTGTTATCGTATCAATTAGCTTACCTTGACTAAAACTGAACTAAAGCTATCTATCTCCAGTGCTGTGCTTATCTCTGATTACATGCACGTGTGCCTTTTGTGTATGGCGTCGGTGGCCTAGTGGTTAGGCTCTCGGGCTCGCAACCGTAAGGTCGTGGGTTCGAATCCCGTCAGGGGCTAGACGATGTGTCCTTGGGAAAGGCACTTTACACGAATTTTCCACACTTCACCCAGGTGGAAATGTGTACCCGGCTACAGACAGCGAAAGATCTTGTCAGTTTGTTAGTGTTTGAGCGCTTAATCAGCTGCTTGCACTGTATGCTTCCCGGGAAGCTTAGAATGTTTCGGAGTGTTCTATGGTCTGCTGGGGTAATAATATAGTGTAAAGCGCATAGAGCCTTCTGTTGAGCGGGGATATGCGCTATACAAATGCTATTGATTATTA